GGAGTGGGGAGGAAATGCTCTGGCAGGTGCCTTAAAGGGGCTGAAGTTCCAACCCCCAACAGGTGTGCCCTAGCTTTTGAACTTCTGGACTTATGTGGCTCAGCAGGTTAGTAGGTTTGGCCCTATATTTTAGACTCTGCTCTAGACTACACACTGATTCTGCACAACATCTGTCATGGTCTTTGACACGCAATGCATATTTTTCAAGTTGTTTAAATACATGTGTACTCAATAGGTTAGTGTAATTTGTCAACACTCTCCTGAAAACTATTACTCTGTTACACTGAAAAAAGAAAAGTAATTGAACCATTGAACAGTTCAGTGAAAGTGATGTTAAGAGTCTTAATCAAATCCAGAAAATGCTGAGTTAAAAGGTGTCAAATATGGCACAACTTTTCCTTCATTTAGCTGGCTGTACCCTCACAGATGAGAGGCTGAGTTTCAATCAATGTGTGTAGCTGACATTCCTGCCAACAATGTGAACAGAAGATGAAACAGGAAGCTTTAGTTCTGAATTTACAACTTTGTATCGCCTGAGTCTAGACCTGCAGAGTTGTTTGCATGTTGGAAATTATTCATTATTTTTATTATTATTAGTAGTAGTATTCATAGGATAGTATACCAATACCATAACTGAATTAATTGGTACAAATTCATCCCTGCTGTAACACTGGAAGCTACTTGAGTGATAGTGGGGACGGATATGGCCCTGTAAACTACAATTTACCTTTAAAAATAAATGTTTCACGACTCTAAAAATTAATTCAGTCTGTCTAGGACAGTTCTGTGAGTACTTGGAAAGAAATGCAGATGTGTGTATGTGCCCTATTGCCTATATACATGCACTAGCTAATATATTGGACAGAACTGTCACATGTGTGTGCTATTTTTGGCATTTTTCCCTAACTCAGCATCTGACATCTGGTTTAAAAGATGCTCAGTAGAAAAATCTGAAGAAAATATTTTCTAAACCCCTACAAATAAAAAAGGCATTTTGCTTTCACTGTATTATTTTTTCCACTAATTCCAAAAGCAATCTAGCCATTTTTTTAAATTCCTTTTGAAAAATCGCTTTCCTACTGAAAATATATAGAGCTGCTGAAATGTGTATTTTTTTAATCATTAAGGAGATGCTGAGGTTGAGACACCCACAATTTGACCTACTCTCTTTTTCTCTCAGTGTGTTAAGTAAATGTAAGTAGAGCTTAGAGCCACTCCCAGGAAGCACTAGCCTTTCCCTGAGATCTTTAGCTTCAGCTCCATATCGTTCAGAGGGAAATACTGTTGGCGTGTAGCAGTACTGGGTATTGGAAGTCTGCAACCAGGTGTGGCTATTTGGTGTAAAGCTCTTGTGTATCTTGAATGCACTTCTTGCCCATCATGATCTCATTGCATTGCTGGTAGCTGAGTTTTAGGAAGCAATAGGATTGTTTGGGGGCTCCTATGTGTCTACACATTTCTTTCACACTTTGCTGCAGTGTGCTTTGCAAGAAAGAAGGGTGGAAGATGCCTGTGATTTTTACAGTGTTTTGCAAAATACATGTAACTTCCAATACGATTCCCTCCACACCAGTGTTTCTCAAAGTGCACCGCAGGCCCGATTCGGGAACACTACTAGCTGTCCTATGCCACTTTGTTTAACTAAAGTGTTCATAGCCATGGAACCTTATGGCTCCTATTGGCTCCAGTTCACCAAGGGGAACACACTCGGTGCTTCAGTGCCCTTGTTTTAAAATAAATTTACAAATTCCAATGCATCAAAATCTGCAGGCCTCAACTGAACCAACTCCTGTTAGAACTGAGTAGGAATGTTGCTCAATTAAGAACTGCAGAATTTGGGCTAATATCAATATCTCAGTACCCAGAGTGAAACTGAGAAATCAAGAGGAATATAGTCTGACACATAACGGTTGTGTTGGGACACCTGGGTTCTGTTCTCACCTCTGCCACTGACTTCCTTGGACAAGCCACTTAACTTCTCTGTCCTTCATCTATCTCATCTTTAAACTAAAGAAAATCCATTCTACTCATTTGTTGTAGCGCTGTGAGGTTTGTCAATGAAAAAGCACTATACAAGTGCAAAAGAAGTTTTATTATTCTTGTTATTTCTAATTAATATAAGAAAACTGTGTGTGCAGTCATTGGTGAAAAAATATTTTCTGGGAGAAAGCATCTTAATTTCAACTTTTTAAAAGTTACTAATGACACCACTTGGAAGGAGAGAATGATGTTTAAAATGCTGAGGTCTTGATAATATCCTTTTAAAATAGTCCTTAAGGCTACTTATTTGTAAAGTTATCCCATTACTTGTGGAAATGGGAAAATTTACTGCAAGTTAGTCCACCAACAAAAATGTTAATAGGTTACTGTGCATCCCAGTAGTCAGGAATATTTTCTCTATTTTTTTAAAAGTATTTGTGTGTTTTGTTTTTGTTGTTGTCTTAATATGATGAAATGATTGGGCAGCGTACAACCTCCAGGGAAAGACACTTTGGTGTATGAGTAAATTAGATACATGTGAAAGATGATGTGCATGTTTTGCTGCTTTTGTTCCCTTTAGGTGTGGAGGAGCAATCGCTTGACTGTTCTCCGGTACTGGATGACAGATCGGCACTTTACTCTGGAGTTCACAAGAAGCAATTCTGCTTCGATGGATCTTCTGAAAAGCAGCAGCCTGAGGATGACTCAGACTCTCTCACCACTTCCCCTTCATCCAGTAGTCTAGATACTTGGGGTGCTAACAGGAAATTGGTTAAGACCTTCAGCAAAACTGATAGCCGTGGTCTTATTAAGCCCCCTAAGAAGTTGGGAACATTTTTCTCTTACCCAGAAGAGGAGAAAGCTCAGAAGGTTTGCCGCTCTTTGACAGAAGGGGAGATGAAGAAGGGTCTTGGTTCCTTGAGCCATGGGGTAAGTACTGAAAGCATTTGCTTTTATGACAGCAACAGGCACAAGCACCATCTCCTGGTGTCCCTGGAGGAGATTCAGAGTGTCAGGAAGCAGATCCGATTGAAGAAAATGGATAGTAACTATTCCTGTTCCAGAGCTTTTCTCTGCCAGCGTCCTGTCAGGAAAGGCATATCTCCTGCAACTTGTGACCTACAACTGCTTCGGCACAAAGCCAAAGGGGGAGGAGGTTGTGGCTTCCCAAACAGAAAGCTTCGAGGGCGTACCTCTGTCAGTGAGTTCAATATCACCTATGTGGTGGAGAGAAGCCTGTACAGTCACCTCAACCTATCACAACTGGTGCGTCCCGTCACTGACAGGACCCTGAGCAAGGCCGACAAGCAGGACCTGAGGAGATGCCTACTGGATGAGGATGAGGAGGCCAAGCGGAAGTGGGCCACCACGGTTGACCGTTGTACTAAAAGGGTTCTCTTGAGAATCCACCAAAAGTCTGTGAGTCAAAGAGCTGTCTTGAAGGTGGCCTTCCAGTTCTTGTGAGGTTGCAGTCAGCATTGTTTCGGCTTCCTGTTCCATCCCATAAAATTTTAATATGGTGTTTTTCTGCTCTCAATTGCCAATAGTTATTAAATGCAAAACGAGGCTGTGTGGCCAGGGGCTGTGTTAGTCCCCAGTGAGGAAATGGGTATAATTCCTTTCAGTGTACAAAGAGAAGAGCATTGTCAAGTCTGTGATTTTCCTTGTGCATAAAATGACTAAATATTAGAGAGCAAATTGTACCAAAAATGCTTTTTTAATCTGTTCTAATTAAGAAATTGAGATTTTGGTGAAAAAAGAAACAATGTAAAAAAGGTTTCCTGCTGTTTCAAAAATTAATCCAGCATTCTTTAAAAGGAAATATTGAAGGGTACATGAATCCTTTGTAGGGATGGAAGACTCTGAATAAAATCTGCTTCTCCCTCTCTCTCAGCCCATCTTCTCCCACTCCGTTTTCCTCTCTATTGCCAAGATAGTGCTCCCAGCTCTGGATCCTCCCTCCTCATATGCACAGTACACAGAGGTAGAGAGCTCTTTTATCTACAGTCCTGCTTTCTTCCCCAACTTCTCTCCAGCATTGGCTGCTGTTCATGCTCCACTGGGATGGAGGAGAGCCTTGGGAAGGTGGAATATGGGAAAGAGGTCAGGATAGCCAGTAGGGGAGTGGATTTTCCTTTTAGTAAGTTAAGTTCTAATAGGCATTCCAACCTAGCTCATCTTCCTGTGTACAAAAGCCATTATTTTCCAAGATTCTTCCTGCCAGCCTCTTGAATCCCCTAGGACATGTCATCTAGTCTGAGGTCCTAACAGTGCATATTTGCTCCCTACTTAAGGTGAAGGGAAGGGTAATTAAGTGTCTAGATTTATAAAATTTAGCAAGGCATTCTAGTGGACATTACAGAGGAAATACTATTTCTTACAACTTTTAGATTTTATGGTATCTATTAAGAAGCTTCCACATAATTTTTTAAGGGTATGGGTTATTTTCAGTGTGAGAGTTATATAGTCCCATCCTTGGATCTTTCTAACTAATTGTTAGTCACTAGTAGTAGCTGACTCTTAGTTGGTGGTCTACACTTGCATAACACTGACAAACCTGAGTCATCCCTGGGCAGAATCAAACCTAAGAGCTCTGGAGCTTAGTATATTACTTCTAGGGTTATTTTGCACCAAAAAAATTCCTTTATAAGCATCTTAACACAGAGCTTTGAGTAATTTGTTTAAGCTACAAATACAGAATCATACTTCCTGCACCCTTCGGAAAATGTGCAAAGGCTTCAGGGGATCAAGGATCATGGAGGAAGAAAGGATCCTTGATGTGAACTTGGAGGGCTGTTGGGTGTGAGTGGGAGAAATAAGGAACAGGTTTTGGTGGGAAGGGAGGGAAGAGATTTCTTAGGAAGTTGGGGCACCTCCCTTATGCAGACCCTGTCTTATCCCTAATCTTCCTCATTCAGTCAGGGTACATTTTCCCCCATTCCCACGTGTCCTTCCCATTGAATCACTTGCTCAGTGTTGTCACTCTACTAGCTCTTGAATCAACACTCCAGTTGATCTCACACACACATACACACACGATCCTTTCTCAAACCCCATCTGTGACACGTCCTCCCCTTACCCCGAGGAGCATTGTGTTCCAGGCTCCGTGGGCAGGGTACTGTGATGAATGCAGGTGGGTCTAGCTTTTCTGGCACCACGGCGGTCTCAGGTGGGTGAAAGGTAGAACTGCAGAAAAATGCATTTTGGGTGGGGGAAAAAATCTGCACTAAACATGAATTCTGTGAGTGCACAGTGGCACGGAATTTCCCAAGGACTAGTCAGAGCCTCTACTGCATGAGCTAAAACCCACACGACTCTTAGCTAAGACTGTAGCAGTTTCATCAATCTCTAGATGTCACCAGAGGGTAACAGAGCACCACTCCCAGCAGGCATGAGTTTACTTGCATTTAGTTCATGGTCACTGTGGTATCACTTTATTTTGACTCAGTACAATTTAGGGATATTAAATGTTGGTTAATTGAATAGTCGAGTAACCTCATGAATTCTATAGTCCCTGGGGGAAGGGCCAGCAACAGTGTGGGGAGCCAGTTTAAAAACCAGCTTCTCTTGCAGACCAGCTGCTTGTTGCTCTGTGCTACTGCCTCTGAAAAAGAGGCAGTAGTGCGGGGTAGCAGTAGCCCCTGTCTGCGAGGAGGCAGGGATTGAGCTCCTGGACCCGGCGCAAACCGGAACTGAGCCAGGCTGCCTGCTCACTTTAAATGCAGAGTCACAGCAGGGGTAAGTCCTGCACCTGGCGTGAGCCAAAACTGAGCCAGGCTGCTGGCCAGCTTGCTAAAATATTTACTGGTTGGGGGAAGGGGAGGGAAATGCGTGTAGTCTATAGCATTAACCTATAAGCTTTTGCTTATTAGTTAGTTGACTACACTATTACATCCCTAATACAATTAACAGTTTTTCCTGATTATTCCACTAGTGCTTCTGTGTAGATTAGTTGACCCATCATTGATACTGTAATGTAACTTCCAGAAATAGTATTCTCAAATGATATTCTTCATGTAATGCCATTTCAGTTGATTGTGCCAGATAACTGACATATCAGTCTGTAGTTTGAATGCTTGGGTATAGGCAGACTGACAAGAACCACTAGTTCCTCATATCTTCTAAAGATGTACTACAATTACACATTAAAAATGCTTTTTGATGCTGTCTTCTTGTAAATGCAGGTGCCATCACCTAGGGGAAGCTATTTAATCAGTTAATGTGTGAGTAGTCTCACTATGGAAGTCTCATAATTGAACTCATTAGCTTGCTCACATAGATAAAATTGCAATGGAAAAAAAAGAACACCTCAAAAAAAAAGTGGGCTTTCCAATCAAGACCTGCAATACACCCTTTTTAAAAGGAAAGGGGGGAGCAGGGTTACTTTCATTAACTTTAAATAAACTTATTTTTAAAACAGCAGAAAACTGATAAACTTCTCCAGACCTTCAAGCACCTCCATTCCTCCTTTCTAAAATTGTAACGCTTACTGCAACCTCACAGAAATGTGATGCCTTTGTATTCAGTGGAAGTGGTCAGTCTTGTCTTGCCATTTGTTTTTGTCATTTATATTTGTTTCAGTGACCTGGGCATGCTTGAAATTTTTGCGTTTTTCTTTCCTCCCAGTATCCTAATGTATTGGGTTTTTTTGATTGCATGGCCATTCCATTGAATATCCCTCTCTTCATCCACAGACTTTTTGTTGGGTACACTATTACCAGAAACCATCACAGTGATGTGAAAGGGCATGGTAAAAGTTCCAGATTTACAAGGACATGTGCATATTTTCAGAATGGGAAAGTCAGAATCCTGAATAAAATGACTGGATATTCTTTAACCAAAGGATACTTTCTTTTCAGAGAATGCTACAAGAATTACTCTGGTTTGCATGGTCTGAAATCAGTTCTTAAGTTCTGTTCCACTATCTTCTCTTGGGTGTTATGTTATCTGTGAGAGGTTGGATTAGTTAGAATGCTCTTGGCACTGGTCCTGATTATGTAGTAAAATGTGCTGTATATGAAACACCAATCTTAATGGTGGTGTTTGCTTGTGTGTCTAGTGCATCACTTCTTGTACAAATGCTTGAAAACTATTCTCACAGCTAAGTTGTGAGCTAGTCTTGACCAATGTGTCATTTGCTGTCAGCTAACAGGTGTTAACCTGTCTTCAAGCCTTTCAACCACTCCTGCATGTAAGGCAAATCTGAAGAACTTGAGCTAATGTGATTAATATCACTAGAACTCTCTCAATTGACTTCATTATGCATTGGATTAGGCCCTAAAAATGCACAGCAAAATTCTTCAGATATTGCCCTGTCTCGTTATAGTTAGACTCAAAGGGATAATTTAAAACAGAGAACTACCTGCCTGTAAATCAGCTACCAAATCTCACCAATGTTATATCCTTGATTTCCTGGGATTTCTCATGGTTCCTGTCACTGAAAAGAATCTAACACCACAAAGTCACTGGAAGAGGGCTAGGTCACTAGGGTACTGTACCCCAATTTTGGAGGGAGCAAAGAGTTTATATTGAAAGATAATAGTTGTATCCCAACTTCAAAGGAGTTAGTTCTCTTGCAGCTGAGATAAGAGCTTTAGAATAGGCTCATTAGCCAGAGCTTTGTTTCTTGCCATGGAAGTTGGTCACTCTGTGGCTTTGTGCTGTTGGCAGGGAACCAGTGTCATAGTGCTGATGCTTTTAGGTAGGGAGACAAATATTAACGTCATCTAAGTTTTGGGCCAGGACTGAGGAGTACTGAGTGACTCATGCTAATCATCCCTTTGTAAATATAACCTATTTTTCCTCCCAGTGAGTGATAAAGCTGCTCTGTAAACCAAGGAAGTGAAAAAGTTTCAGAGGGTTAGCTGAATTAGTCTGTAACTTGAAAAAACTTAGAAAAACAACGAATAGTCTAGCAGCACCTTACAGACTAACAAAACATGTAGATGATATCATGAGCTTTCGTGGGTTCAACCCACTTCTTCAGATAAATGGAGTATTAACAGTCCAGTTCCAGAATAAATAGGGGATGAGCGGGGGGGGAGGAGAAGAAAAGGAGGGGAATAGTGAATTAGTGTTCATGTTACATGAAACTGACTGGAATCATTGTCTTTGAAGAGTAAAATTTCTGTTGGTATATCCCTTTTGGACAGCTGGACAAGAGTTATGTTCCCCTCCACCTGCCTGATTCTGCAAGGCGCTTACCTCATTTTTTGGTGAAAGTTGAAGGTGTTCAGCTACTCCCTGAAGGTGCTTACTCAGTACCTCACAGGATTGGGGCCACTGATTATACAGATACTACTTTGGATAGGTGCGTGAAGGGAGTCTGGAATGAAGTTGCCAGAAAATTGGAAGACTTGCTGAATAATATGAGGAGACAATTTTCTTAGGCTAAAAGTCTTAGAAACACTTATTTCAGAGAGCCTTGACTAGACAGCTCAAACAGTCTGGGAAAAGACAATTGACATAAGTTTCTTTCATGATTCATGGTGATAATGCTCAAACCTTCAGTTTCTCATCCTTTCCCATTTCCATTATTTACATATTATGTGTGCTTTCAGTGATGTTCTCCAAGTGAGAGAAAATGTTTGAGTGCTTGTTAGTGCAATTGTTTCTGTACTAATCCTGTCCTTTCCACAGAGAACCTGTAGCTTTGGAGGATTTGACTTGACAAATCGTTCCCTGCACATTGGAAACAACTCTGACCAAATGGTGAGTACAAGGTAGAAGGGACAGGGTATGGAATAGCAGAAGGCTTCTCTTGTATGTAGTTACTATGAAATATTCCTTGGTAGAGTTAAATGTAGTCTAGTCCTATAGTAGCAGTTTTGAGTTCTAAGTAAGCAACCCAGAGAGCACAATTTTTTAACCACCAACTGCTTTGGTTTCTCAGCCTTGTGACAGCCAGATACTGTGTGTGTTTATTTATATGCTGTATCTGAGAAGTATGATCAGACGGTTACAGCAAAGGACTAGGGGTCAGATCTCTGTTCTATTCCTAGCTGAGTCATTGTTTTACCGCATCACCTCAGGCAAGTCATTGATAGCTATACTTCACCAGAATGGTTCTGGAAAAACATCTCATTTGTGACCAGGATACAAGAAGAAGATGATGACGACCACCCAGAATTAACTAATGTGCCTTCAGTGCACTTGCACAAGGCCCCCATCTTGGTGAGGGGAGCTCCACCACTGGAAAAAGCAACCCTGAATGGTGCTGCAACTCAGCAAGCCAGTTTGCAATGCCACTCCCTCTGATTTAACCCAGGCATCTTCCGTGATGGGTGTCCAGGCCAAACCTGAGCATTGCAGGGTGACTGGAATTGGGAAGAGCCATCCTGGCCTGTAATGTGAACTGAGCACTCAGCTGAAGAGGTGCTTGTGAATGGCCAGGCAGGTCTGGGGGGCAGTGGGTGAGAAGCAAGGTGAGAGTTCGTGGTAGGCTGTGGGGTGAAGGCTGGGGGCAAGCTGGAAATATTGGGAGGTTGGTGAGGTTGGAGTAGGGATGTTGAGAATTGTTGCAGGTAGAGCTGAAGGGTTGGGGTTGGAGTGAGTGGGATATGCATAGGGGCTGTCTTGAAAAGTGGGGCTGATAGGGCATTTGGGGGGCATATGTGGAGTAGGGGAACATTTGGGGGGGGTTGGGTTATGAGGGTCATAGAGGGGTGTGAGTGTGGGGTAGGCAACAGGCATTTTGGTATCTGTGTGAGGCGGGGGTGTTTTAATGAAGGGGGGGAAATTTTCACAGTCATAGGGCCCCCGAATTTTTATAGATGGATACAGATACAAAAATGCTTATCTCTCTCAGTGGTGTTTTTGGCATTTACTCAATAGGTGTGTGTGAGAGACTTTGAGATATCTGGATGGAAGTCATTATAAAAGTTCCTGTTGTTACCAAAGTTGACAGTCCTTCCTCTCCACCCTCAGCTCTTTGGTGTTATTTGTGGCATAAAAAATAAACTGTCAGATGTATTACTTTGATCCAAAAGTTCCTGTTGTGAAGTATGCAACCAAAAGGAACTATAATAAATACTGATCAGCTCACTGTACCATTTTCCCCCTCAAGAACAACTTTTACTCTTTCAGCCTTGGTCTCTGCCAATTCTTTTAATATCTAGTAGCTTAAATCAAGTTAATTAATAAAACAGCTTATCACCAGCATCTCTGATGATGATGAGGGATTAGTTTCACTGGAACTAGTCAAATGGTTTCACAATGGTTTTCTTCCTTACACTTGGTTTATAAAAACATGATGTATCTCTTTCAACTAGTATCTTTAAACTAGTTTGCCATGTTTTGTTCACATTACCTTTTGATCTGGGAAACTATGAAATCTAAATGTTATGCTTTCCCTTTCCACCAGCAGTGAGAAAGATAAGAATAGGAGGCTGTTGTATCCAGATCAAGTGGATTTGCTGGAAGTCTCTAATTGCATTAGTTTATTGTCTTTTCAGAGCTCACAAGACAAAAGGTTATCTTCAACTTGATGAAAATAGGCAATAAAAATGGCATTATCTTTTCAAAGGGAAAGGAAGGTAGAGCTGGTGACTGTCACGATTTGACAATGACTTTTAGAAGCTGGAGAAAGAAGGTTTTATTAAACCAGACTAGTTTTGTTTTGGAGGTTGCATGTGTGTTTTTGTTTTTGTAATGATGATGATCTTTTTTTCTAAAAAATATTATTCTTGTGGAAAATTCAATCATCCTCTGAAGGGCTGCTGTACCATATCAGAGACTAAGCTTAGCCATTAAAGTGTGAAATGGGTTTAGTGCTACTTGCAGTGCAAATCTTAAAGCAGCCCTGGTACAGAAGCACTACCGGTGCCTCTCTAACAGTGTCGTATTATGCTATTTATTTTGAAAGCCACATGAAGAAGTATTATGCCCTACAGACAGATTGATTCATTTTACACAATCAGTACAGCCACTTACATGTATGGTGGATGCAGCAACTATTTAAAACAACCATAACAAACCTACACAACAGTTTAGGAGAGAAAATGTAGCTTATCCAATTGAAATAAAATGGGAATTCAGATAGGCAGAATGCAGTTACCCAAGTCAGTATTTGGGTTATCAGGGTTAGTCTTGTATAGTTTAAAAAAAAAAAAAAAAAAAAAGAAGTGCTAGAGCAGTGTTTCTCAAACTCTGCCGCGCGGAGCCTCAGGACTCCGTGAGACATCTCCAAGGGCTCTGCGAGGTTGACAAACTGGAAACATTGATAGGTACAACACATACAATCAGTGGACCACTGGGGCTCCGCATAAATTTTTACGCATGTAAAGGACTCCGGAGTCCAAAAAGTTTGAGAACCGCTGTGCTAGAGGATCTTTACTGACCATGCAACAGACAGGACAGCAATTGTATGTTTCATCGGAAGAATTCAACCTCCAGTAGTAAGATTGCCTTGCAGCTTGAATGTTCAATAGTAACTCAAAGTAGGAAGAATACCCTGTACTGAATCCCCAACATAACTTCATTCAATACCTCTAGGACAGTGAACAGGTTCTGATAATCAGATCTGAGAAGAAGGAAGGGTATATGATAATATAACAGTGGTTTATGCACTGGATTTATTGTCAAGGCCAGAAAAGACAAGGTTTCCATGGTGAAGCTAAGAGCAATGTCCCAAACAACACGCTACCTTTGTCACCCCTGGATACCTTTGGTCTGAGTGCTGGCATGAGAAGTAATAGGAATACAGCATGGCAAGAATTGGCTCTTATATTTTATTTTAAAGAAACAACCTCTTATTTTATTTTGCAGGGCAAAGAAGGAGACATCATTTATAAGGAAGTGATCAAATCGCCCTCTGCTTCCCGTATATCTCTTGGGAAAAAGGTGAAGTCTGTAAAAGAAACCATGAAAAAAAGGATGTCTAAAAAATATAGCAGCTCTCTTTCAGAGCAGGTATGTAATACTCATAATGGTCTGTACTTGCTAGGATAAAATCTATGAATCCTCATGCTTCAAAGTATTTTCCTAAAAGCCCTGCGTGGTCAGGAAGAAAATTTTCTGCATCTAGACTTCTGGTATCCCGGAGAAACTCCGCTACATTCAGGGAATGCATTTGCTCTTCTGCTTTTTTTGCAGAAGAGCAAACATGCTTTTCGAGGAGCCCTGTATATCTCGCCATCTATACGGGGCCAAATGGAGGAAAAGTCTCTTCCAGAAAAGCAACTGGAAAAAGCTACACAAATTGCGGAGCACAATTTGCGTAGCTTTTTCCAATAAAAGAGTGTAGTCTAGACCTAGCCATAGTGTCATTAGATCATTCATGTGTTCTTCTAAAACCCCTCACTATGAAATGAATATCTTTTTATAGAAACCTAATTGTGACAGTGCAGCCTCAAATCTCCTTCTAGGTGACTTTTCAACAGAGGGAGATGAGTGAGGATTTTACACCCACGTACCCTGAGCTGTATTTTCACCTCTACAATTATTTCTTAGATATCACTGCAGTGATCAAAGGAGCACTGGTTCCATTTTCAAGTTAAAAAATAAAATTAAAATGCAGCTGACACTCTGAACTCTCTATAAAATTCAACATGTACAACTCCCCTCTCCTAACCTCTATCATACTGCTCCCTCTGCAGCGGCCTATGAAAACAGATACATCTCATTTCTATTTCTAACATTACTTCATCACAGATGTGTGCAGTTCATTCTTAGAAGCAACCATAAGTACACACAGTTGTAAAGCTGAGCTTTGAATTTACTTTGTCCAAAATAAATCTCTCTCCAAGAAAGTCCTTTTTGGCAGATTGTGTTATTTGGTTTGGTGGATTGTCGAAGCATCTAGTGAACTAAAAATAAATAAATCAGTCTTTCCACCTGAAATTTATAGGTAATTGCTTACCAAACAGTTGGGAAAGCAATGTTTTCTCTAATAAATATTACCCTCTAGTGGCCATTTAATAAGCAGCAGCCAATTTGCATATACTTGCTGTGTTAGAAAGCTGGAGCACACTTTTCTTTGAGCTAGAATCGTCTGGTGAGACCTCTTAGGACAATTTGACTACATAATTCAGGCAGTACTTTCCTCTCTTGTTATTCACTGAGCAAGATTAGCTCTGATATGGAGTGTCTGGTTCTAATTGTAATCTCTTCAGTGCAGGGACAGTCTCCTTGTTATGTTCGTGCAGTGTCTAGTACAGTGGGGCTGGGACCTGTAGGTGCAATTGTAGTTGAAATTAATAATGAAAATTGTGGATTTTTGCCTCCAAATGAAGTGATCCATGTTTCTTCTTAGTGAAGCAGACTGATCCCAGGCTAGTGCAAGTGATACCTATCAAAACATAATTTTAACTGTCACAGTAAATTGGGACCTGCAGCACTAGAATCCCGTGACCACTTTAATTGTTGCAGACTTTGGAGAAAAGTTTAACCAAAACAATAATACTCTTTCTTGAAAACATATTAGGAAGTAGTAACAATAATGGGGGGTTTAGAATGGGTTTCTTTCTCTCCCCCTTGTGCTTTATAGGCTGGGGAAGAGCATGCTGCTGTGTGACTTATCCCAATGAACTATAGGATGGGTTTGCTTTAGGAGGAAGAAGCCTGGTAGTCTTCCCATCTAGTGCCTTTTGAACATCCTGAGAATGGGCTACCTGCTTCTGTTAGGGTAGAGCTGAGGATTAGGCAACATGTGTCCCAAAAGAAAGCAATGGTAGGGTTCTAGGATAGCAGGTAGAGATCCAGAACCAATACTGCTGAATTTCATTGGTCATCCCTGTAATGGACTTCATCTATCACATACAGACATGGCTTCTTTTCTCAAACCTAGGCCACTAGCCTGGAACTTTTATTTTCAATTGTGAACTCTTTGGTGCAGCAACTATCATATATTCTGTTTGTATGCCAGCCACCATCTTGGCTGACACACACGGACTGAATCTGGTAACCTCCAAAGCTAAAAACATGAGCTATTATGGCTTGAGCTAAAGAGACAAGGCTGTTAGGCTAGGACTGAACCAACTTATACTCTGTGAATCAGGGGTTGGGAGGGATTGTGTTGGGCTAGAATAGTGCCCAACATAATGGGGCTCAACCTAGAGGCACAACCACCATATAAATGTTATTTTGAATGTGACTAAATTTAGTTATATTATTATTAATACAAATGGGGTTGTTCGATCATTGAATTTGTAGAAACACAGCACATGGTGGTGTCCTCAATCATATGCAGTGTAGCTCTCAGATGGAATTCCTTTCTGTATGTGTACACAGTTACATTGGTTCATAAATAGGACCAAATAAATAAAAGCTAATAATGTTTTTTATGTATTCATTTCAAATGGATAATTCAGTTAAAAAATAATAATCTGCAACAAAGGTCACATTTCATATTGTATTATTGGACATTAACGATAAGATGTCAGGGCCAAATAACCCTTTGGATAGTCTACTTAGGAAACAGATACATCAGAAAAATGGTGTGAAAGTTAGGTTACTGATCTGCTTCTAAAGCTTCAGAGGGGTAGCAAAGTTAGTTTGTAACTGGAAAAAATTTAAAAATGACTAATAGTCTTGTAGCAGCTTAGGGTGTGTCTAGACTACAGGGTTTTGTCGACAAAAGTGGACTTTTGTCGACAAAACTATACCTGAGTCTACACTACCACTGAGTTCTGTTGACATAACGTCGACAGAACTCAGCAGTTTTGTCGACGCTGGTAAACCTCATTTTACAAGGCATAACGTCTTTGTCGACAGAGTTCTGTCGACAAAAAGGGCAGTCTGGATGCGGGTGTTTCATTTGTCGACAGAAAAAGACCTCCAAGGAAACCCCTGCTGGACAGTCCTTCTTCAGGAAAAACCTCTTCTTGGTCCTGTCTGTAGCCATTTTTTAAAGGCACAGACATCCCTGGCAGGCATTGTGACAGGAAGCTGGCCACAGACAGAGCCTGTCAGCACCTAGCTCTCCCAGCGTCACCTGCACGTGGCCATGTGTGCAGCTCCAGCACCACAAGGCCCCCAAGAACCTTTGAGGGAGCCAGCCCTGGTGCCCCCAGCCAAGAAAAAGAGAGCCCCAGCCTGGTCAGGGCCAGAGGTCCTGACACTACTTGAACTGTGGGGGGAGGAGAAAGCAGTCCAGGCCCTGCACACCTGGCGCAGGAACACCAGCATCTACGGCTGCATGGCTCAGGGGCTGTCCGATAAAGGGCACCATCCCAGGATACCACAACAGGTCCGGGCGAAAGTCAAAGAGCTTCGGCAGGGATACGTGAAGGCCCAAGAGCAGAGCTCAGAATCAGGTGTAGCACCAGTGCACTGCGCCTATTATAATGAACTGGATCGCATCCTGGGAAGCCAGGCACCAGTGCAGCAAAGCCGGCAAGAGGTCCCCAGGGAAGATGTGGAGGAGGAGGAGGAGCAGATGGAGGACACCCTGACCCTGAGTCTGCAGCCTGTCCCAGAGACAGAGGAAGCCTCGCAGGCACCCTCCGACACTGGAGAAGGAACATCAGGTGAGCGCAGGCAGGGTCACAGACACAGCACAGGGGAGGTGGGAGCAGAGAGGATGCAGAGCAGTGTTCACATTTTGGTCCTCCCTCCTGGACAGCTTGCATCTCTCTGTGAATGTACAAGCAGGCGGGCAGATGGTGGATATGTGGGTGGGGGGCATCGGAGACCCAAGGTGCAGCAGGCCCCTGTCCTACTGTGGCTGCACACTGATCTGGCCTGGGCGGCCACAGTGGAGGGCGGGAGGATCTAGGGGGTGGAGGTGGACATTGTCCTAGCCACAACGGGGCCCCTGGGTAGC